CCCACTGCACCTGATGGAGACCCTGGGGCCACCTTTCTGACCCTCCGTCTCGGTTGGGGGTTGACAGTGTCTTCCGTTCTTGAGGAAGTCAGACATCAAACATCAAGACTCTCTGTTTGGAGCTGTAGCAGGATCATCAGGTTATCAGAGACTTTAACTTCAATATTCGGTCAGAATGCAGCTCACAATTTCATTGCCTGATACATGGCTATATCTAGTGTAATCAGCTTGTTTTAGCAGATTTTAATCTTCATTAATAAAATATGAATGCACTGATTTATTGGAAAACTCAATCAATGACACCTTTCATCTTGGATACTGCACTTAATGAGTCCAGCAATTAAACTCTTGAGGGAGTAACATGGGTGACTGATGAAAAATTCCAGAAGATTTAAGTCGGTTCTATCAAGGCTGTCCCAGTGCCTGCCTGAGGTGGTGGAAAAGATGCCTCTGAGGGGATCCTCTTCTTTTGGTCATCAAAGTCATTTTTACATCTGGTTTCCATGTCTTCACTGGCACCTTATCCATGTGTTTGCAATGTCCACAGCTAAGTTCCTAAATTCTACCTTGTCCTATGCAGGTTACAACTTATGGGTCATTTTAATTCAATATTTTAGAATGGTTAGCCAACTGCATTTCACTCGCCCTTTCTTCCTTCCTTTTTGCAACGTTCTCTGTTTTCCTGATCTGGGCTGTATGTTGATCAGCGGTCTGTGGTTCTCAGCCATGGCTGTACAGTCAAACCACTGAAGCTGGGTACTTTTTAGACCAGTTTTATCAAAATTCTGTACTGGGGCTCAGGCAAGCATTTAGAATCGTCTCTCCAGGGGACTCTATGATGATGCTAACACGTATCCTCTGCTCTCCATCTCCGTGCAGGTTTTCTTCCTTAATTAAAACTGGATGACATCAAACACTCAGAAATGCATAAAAAGTTTTGCTTAGGTCAATAGATATGTGCAAAGGCAAGTAATTGTCACAAAGTCGTAACTTACTTGTTGTCCCAGAGTATGACTGCATGTAGGTAGACAGGGCTGGTTTCCCACTACCCTTGGATGGTGAACATCGGGTGAAGGGTCACACACAAACCATACCCAGCTGACCCCTGGAGAAACTCACGAATGTAGCCAAGAGTTTTGTTTGGGAATTTTTTAAATGCAGGATTCTGTGACCTTTACCCCAGGCGGGCCCCTTGGGAACATTTCCAGGGGTCAGTTGGGATTGATTTGCAAGGCTATTTGGTCGTGTGCAATTAGACGCAGCTTAAGGGCTTCATCAGTCACCTCCATTTCCCCGGAGCCGAATTTCTACCTGTGATGGCTTTGCCATCACCTTTTTCCATCCACAACCCAAGGAAGGCTAAAGGCAAACTGGAAACCACGCCAGTGGGAGTCAGCACAGGCTCCGGGGGACATGAGTCTACTGTCGTGAGGCCGCACGGCAACCCCGGGACACCCGCTTCCTGACCATCCCGGAGGAGGACCGACACAGGACACAGCACTGATGCCGGGGCAGCAGGCCTGTCCTTCTCAATCCTGGGGGGGTCTCAGCCAATGACTTCCTCTGTCCAAGCTCAGCTCCCTCACCTCTAACCTGGAGCAAATAACAAGGACCTTTTGGGTTTGTTGTGACGAGAAAATGTGATGCCGTCCGTGTGAAAGCTGTCTGGTGTGAGGCTGTTCCTCATTAGCCCTTAATATGCTTCCTTGGCTCCCTGCCTGCCATCTCCTTCCTCAACACTAGTGACCTGAGCTATTCCACCCCCTGTCAGGGCTGGAAACTCAGACCCAGCCTGGAGGACGTCCACGCTGTGATGGTAACTTCGGAGCTCCCTCTCTTCCTAGTGCGCTTCCCTCCTCCAGTCAGGGCCGGGTGCTGTGCACTGCGTAACTGTGTAGCAAGCCTCAGTCAGGTACTGGAATCTGCACTGCATCGGGCACTGGCTGGGGGTGTGGTCACTCTGCTGATGTCACCTACATGAGGGTCCCTGGGGTTTGCCCCCAGCTCTTCCAGTGGTCAGGGTAATCAGTGTGTTCATTTCCTGTGGCTGTCGTAACAAATTACCCTGGGCCTGGTGGCTTCAATAACAGGAGTTTATTCTCTGGCAGTTCTAGAGGCCAGAACTCTGAAATCAGGGTTGGTTCCTTCTGGAGGCTCACAGGGAGAACCCGTGACATGCCTTGCTTCTGGTGGCTTCCAGTAATCCTTGGTCTTCCTTGGTTGGTAGCTGCATAACTCCAATCTCTGCTTCCATCCTGTGTGTGTCTCCGTGTCCCAAATAAGCATCTCCTTTCTCTTACGAGAACACTTGTCATTGGGTTTAGGGCCCACCCTAAATCCAGGATAATCTCCTCTAGAGATCCTTAACTTAATCGTATCTCCAAAGACCCTGCCTCCAAGGAAAGCGGCAGTCACAGTCCTGGGGCGCCTGAGCCCCTCTGTCTTTCCTGGTTTCCCATGGAATGGAGACTGCGGGAGGCAAAATCCGCCCTAATGAAGAACCTCTGCAGGAGGGAGCAACGAGTGGCAGACGGTGCCGCACTTGGGGTGCACCTCCCTTGCAGAGCCACCTGGCAGGTGAAAAGAGGCAGGCCCCACCTACTCTGGCCTTTGCCAGGTCCTTCTGCTCTCTGAGTGGCCACGCACATGCTGTCTGCCTGTGTCTCCGTAAGCCGATACCACGCACTCTCAGGGCTCTGATCTGTTGTCCCTGCTCTGGCCAAGCTTTACTAAAGGATGCCTTTCTAGATAAACGTTCTTCCAAAATGCTCAGGAGGCAGAGCTCCGCTTCTTTCTGTGGCAAACACAAATGATCTCATTTAGGATGGTAGGTAGATTTTTATTATGGCCAAGAATTAGGGGACACTGTGTGTTGAATGTGGCATTGTGTTATTCTGACGATAGGTGTGACATTTCACCACTGCCACATCTCCCACACTGGGAGAATTCAGGGGGCACGTGTTCAAGTCATTCTCCCTTCAAAAGTTTTAGATGGCCAGGTAGACCTTTAAACTGCATTTTCTGGTTTAAAAGCGGTTTTAGATTGCAGCTAACACTTGATGGGCACTTCTTTAAAGCCGTTAGCGCCTACTCTCGGTGGAGCAAATGGACTTTTTTTCTTGCATTTCCCTCTGGGACTCTTGGAGGTACGAGACTGGACTTGGGTTTTTAATCCACGCCCAATCTTGGCCAGTTCTTGAAAAGGTGAAATGAAAAAGAGAGACTTTTCGGGGGGAGATGGAGCCTATACTATTTTAGCAAAAATGTAAGGTGGGATTAGCAATTTTACTTGAGGGAACATTTTAAGAGCACTGTTTATTTAGATAATCAGCTTGAATCCTTAAAAAACAACGAATAAGAAAAGGGTATGATTTCCCACTCAACCAGCTAATTAATAAATAAATACAGAAGAGAAGGCTGCTGGAGTTCTTGCCCCCAAGAGAACGTCCCTAAAATAATAAGCTCTTTGAGGAGATGCAGAGCGACATCAATGAATGGGGCAGGGGGCTCTTTCTGTGAGTGTGTGCTGCCTGTCAAAATGCGAGGCTGAGAACTGTGTGTGTTTGTGGCAAGAAATAAAAGTTAGGGTTTGCAACCAGAGCTCAGAACTGATTAAAAAAAACCGATCTGTGGAAATACTGTGCCTGGCACAACTGCAAAGCTTAGAAATTGAAGGGCCCAGCATGACATGCTGCCTGATGCTGTGCCCTCAGAGTGCCACTGGCAGTCCCCAGGGCCCCTTCATCATTCATCTGCCTAGGCACCCTCCAAAGTTGCTGGACCAGCATCCTTGGTCACCGTTAATAGACAGGGGCCTAAGGTCGGAGAAGCCAAGAGACTCACCCCAGGTACCCCAGTGGGTGATATTTCCGGACTTCCTGTCCTTGGATCTTTCCAGCCACAATGTTTTGATCTCATCAGAAATGAACCAGTTCACAGTAAATTACTCAGTGACAATTAGTCAGAGTCAATCATACACAGAATCAAAGCAAACGATGTAACGACTGAAATGGCACAATAAAAATAGAATGGACTACTGATACATGACAACACATGGATGAATCTCAAAAATGCTATGGGGAGGGATGGGAGCTGGAAGCTAAAGAATGTACATGCTATGATTCCATTTATAAAAAGCTTAAACTCAGGCAAAGTGAATCTATTTTGCTGAAGTCAAAATAGTGGTTCCTTGAGGTGTAGGTATTGACTAGAAGGGGAAGGAACATCCTTGGGCTGTTGGAATATTCTGTGTCTTGATCTGGTTGTGGTTACACAGGTGTACATGTAGAAAAAAATTCATTGCCCTCTATACTTACGATCTGCTCACTTTTCTCTTTGTAAATTATACCCTCGTAACGTAAAAATAACTATGTACTGCTATTAGACCAATTGAAGCAGAGTAAATCTCACATAACCTAAACTATCATTTCTGACATTTTTGCAAAATATCCTCATATGAGAGTTGAATTGACACTATGGTGGAGATTTAAAAAAAAAGTATGCTTTTTTAAAAAAACCGTAAAATAAGATTTTGAACTGTTAGTTTTGAGCTGCACATTCTAAGAAGGATACAGCTGTATTTTTTTAATGGAGTCAGTGAAGTTTCAAATAGAATGGATATTCACTGTAAATAAATCATTCTTCAATTCCTTCAATGAAATTAATTTCACATTCCTATTATTGCCTGCAATTCGATAACTGCTAATGCTAGTCCAGCAAATATCATTTTGCTAATGAATACAATCATTAGTGTTGTTTTCATTTTACAGTAAGCCATTATTATTACCTTCTTTCATCTGAATGCATATAAAGTTGCAATAACTTGGTTTCTCTCCCTATGGAATCCAACCATCACAATCAGCTTCTGACATTCGGCTGGCCGAACTCGGATATGGTCATCCCCAGAGAGAAACAGCTGGGCAAAGTTCTTAAGGAAAGCTGTTTGTTCTTCCCAAGAAGGTCCCTTAACAGAAAACGTTAGGAGTAATCCATCAACAACCCACTGCATCAAAATTTATTATGAAGTGATTTCTAAATGTCCAACAAATTGTTTACTATTTCTTTCTGTGGGATTCCAGAAGTAACATTTACCCAACTCTAACAATTTAGGAAAAAAAGCACAAAAAAGGTCTGTGTTTTCATTTTGTTGGAAACAAACTACAGCTAGCTGGCTAGTTGCTCTTGACTTTTATTGTAGTGATGGGGCTGCCCGCTGACCTGCAGTCGTAGCATTTTGTCAGGGCACATGCTGGGGATATTTGCATCTCCCACCCTAAACTTCCTGCAACCATTGGAACACATATCTTCACCAAGCACATTTGAACAAAGCAATGCATAGCTCCTGTGGACCCTTTCAGGCAAGTGGGCACTGCCTGGCCTTGCTTGGAGAAGGCTTATCATGTGAAATCTTCCCTGGGATGAGGGGATGCCGTGGGACCACAAAGGGATATTTCCCCAAAAGCCACCTACGCAGTAAGCCTTCAGCTTCCTCCTGAACTCTGGCCTGCACATCAGATTTCCTGATTTCTCTGGGACCCAAGCCTGGCTGAGATTGCTGTGGCTCCTCGTTAGCCCAGAGGGCCCCTCCATCTTCTGCATGTCACGCATGGTTGAGTAGAGCCAGTGTCCACATCACTCACCCAGGGATGCCCTCAAGACCAGTGTTTGTAGCTAAGTGGCTAACTAACCTAGCACTGGGCTACAACCTTAGAAACACTCTAAGGAACAAAGGAGGTGATTGCCTATAGGTCCGAATTGTCCTCATCAAAGATGAGTAGAAAAGTTCAGCCACAGGATGCAGAGGCGGTGTCTTTGAAGGGAACATAAATGACTGTGGGAGTGATGCAGCCAGCAGAAACATCAGTAACATAGCCCAGAGCCCTCTGGAAAGGTTCCTGTCATTCAGGGGACTCCACCAGATCGTATGGCCTCTGATTTTCCCAGTCACAGTCACATGAGAAAAAACCACATAAGGTAAACCCGAAATACGGGGTTTGCTTTTTGCCGCTAATTGGTGGACTAATTAATTAGGCTTCCCAGTCAGAAACAGCTCTGCTGCTGACAGCGCCCCTGCACCACACGGAGATCTCAGGCAGGGGAGGGGAAGGAGACAGGTTTGCAAAAAGCAACACCAGGGACAAAGGGAGGGACGAAAGATTTAAGGGACTAAAGGCTTGTGACAATGGGACGGGCATGCGCCCTGCAGCCAGGGCAGTGAGGGTCTCTGGTGCTAGGTTTAAGTAAGACAGATGTGCTGACCTCAATCGAGGTGGACCCAGAGGATCACAGAGTGACTCTTCAATGACCAGGGGAAAGGTAGATGGGAGCGGGAGGCAGAACCAACAGGTGTCCACAGTGGCAATGTCTCTCAAGGGTCTGCTTAACATGGAAGAAGCTTCCAGATGTGATGGAGACGGCAAAGAGGAGCGTGGTAAAGGGCCACAAGTCATGGGGCCATTACCCACCAGCACTGATCCCACCCAAGATCATGGGACAGTTAAGTCCCCAGGAAGAAGTTCCTACAGTATGGACTTTTCAAAGATACAGCTCTTGGGAGAGGGCATAGAGTGAAGGGAAGGTCACAGGTTGGAGCAGAATGCACAGATGGGGGCACCATCACCAAGATCCCGTAGTGCCAAATCCACTCCCCAGGTGGTCAAAGCCGCATCCGCCCTCTTCACGAACAGCTGGTCTTGGAGGCCACGGCCTTGCTTCTCCATCCAACCAGGCTGGCGAGATCTGCAGAATCAAGCACACCAGTAATTTCTTTTCCTTATTGACTAAGTCCCAGGATAACCATCGAAAAAATATTAAAAAAAGAAAAAAGGAAAAAAAGAGGCTACTTTTAGATATTTAGCAGATGAAGAATATTTTTAGTTTTTAGCTTCCTAAATTCCGAGAATCAAAGAAACTGGCCGACGGTGCTTCTCTGTGACCATCCACTGCAGGCAGCAAGTGGAGGCCGGACTGGGAGGCTACACAGTACATTTGCAGAGCTTCTGGGCTTTTGTTTTGTCCGAGAGGGACAGTGGCTTTGTCTAGTTTAACCCCCTCTGGCTTAGAACTTTGCAAACACCAAGTCCTTTCTGGAAGACGCTGCGTTTCCACCAGTGCACGGCCACCAGACCTTAGTAATAGTTTAGAGAAATGAAAAACCCTCACTCAGAGAAGTCAGAGCTGCTGCTCATTGTCAAACAATTCTATCCTAGGGAATCGACACAATAACCATATCATTATGATCAAAGTAAATCCACCGCAAAGTCTCCTATTATATGTGACTCTGTGGAATAAGTCATATCACTTCATTTATTAAGAAGAAAATCAATGATATCAGGAACAATTAGATTATTCCATAGAGTTTAGGTGCAAACGTTGCAAAAATCATTTAAACAACAAATAGTAAATGAAGCAGTGTGTCAAATGCTGCTTGTTTTCAAGTGGTCTGTACATGACGGCTTCAAGTGTGTGTGTGTGCGTGTGTGTTTTAAAAATACAGTTCTTGGTCTTGTAAACACAGAAGATTTTTCACTCACTCTCTTCTTTCAGTCTTAACATTTAGTTTAAAAGTGTGTTCCTATTGCTGAAAAGTTCTATACTTCTTTGAGCCTCTGGGATAATACTGCCTGGTCCATGCTGAGCCTTCACTGAGAACCAGGCTCGCGTTGGATGCCCGCACCTGCTTGCTCTGAGTTCTCTCCGCAGCGGGGCTGGCAGGACACTTGGGTAGCTTTCGTGGCCCCCAGTGCCTCAGGATGACCTCCTCAAAGCCAAGTTTCCAGAGGCAAATTACTAGGGCGGGAACCTTCTGACGCTGTTCACCCGGATTCAGAATCCACAGCCCACGTGCTTTTCTGTAGTTGTTTCTGGGCATTGGGGGGTCCCTCATCTCTGTCTCTCCATCAGTCATCCCACCCTGTCTCTGATTAATCTCTGCAACAGCCTTAAAGAGCTTCCCATTTGCTGGGCCATACTCCATCAGACTTGCAGCATAGACAGAGGGAATGACAGCACCTTGACGCTGTGTCTGAATAGAGAGACAAGGCTGGGCATGACTCACCAGCACCTACGCTCTTGCCACGTACTGGGGATAATATTTTAAAAAATATTTTTAGATGTATTTTCATAACGTATAAATCCTGTTGTCCTCAAGCTCCTTGCTTATCGAAGCTGTGGGTTTTGTGCTCTGAGGGAAGGGCAGGCCTGCCAGCTAGGAAAACAAAGCCATTTTTCAGTTTTGACTGGCAAATAAGATTTGTGAGTCCCTAGAAAGCGAAGGTTTTAAAAGCCGCGCATTGTTGGGAGAGAGAAGGATTTACTAAACTCCTTTAGTTGTCACACAAAGGGCTGGCCTGCTGGCTCCGATCATACAGTTTTGACTACAATTCTGTGGTGGAGTCATCTCATGATGTGGGGTGCAGGAGGTTGTTATCACCCAAGATGGAAGGAATCGCCTTGTCTTCTGGGGCGGAGATATGTGGGAGGAGAAGGCATATCCAGGTGGGTGAGGGTGTCAGGCGCCAAGGCCCTGGCTTTCTCCCCTTACTTCGGGTTAGCATCCAGGTAGGATGGCACTCTAGAACACGGCAGACAGTGATGGCCTTCTAGAACATGAGGATAGTGGTAGCACTCTAGGACGTGGGGGGATAGTGTTAGTGCTCTAGAATATGAGGGGCAGTTATGGCACTCTAGAATGCTGAGGGGGGCAGCAGTGGCACTCTAGAACATGGGGAATGGGGACAACAGTATAGAACATAGGGACAGAGGCCTACCTTGCTGACCATTTTGGGGAAGGCTTTAGGCCTCTGGAGAAGCTTGACAACTTGACCCAGAGCCTCAAGTGACATGGTACCTGGAAACTTGTTGGCAAGGCGGGAGAAGCTGGCCAGAAGGGTGAGCCAGAGGCAGGACTTCTGGGTCCCTTCTACCTCTGTGGGGTGCACAGGGTGCCCCAAAGTTCCCAAAGCCCTAGTGGGATAATGCCCTGGAGAGGTGTCGAGAAGGCCAGCCGGTCAAAAGGAACCTGGCGTTGAGGACTGTAGAAAGGAGCTCGGGTCCTCGGACTTCGGCGAAGTAAGGACTTCTGGGGCTTTAATTTTAAAACTTAAAATCTGCTTTTCACAGAGGAGTTCAGCCCTAAGAGGAGTGGCCGGTCTCTGGAATGTTCTGAAGTTCTTTGATGGTCTTCCCATCTTGAGCCAAAGCGAAAGCATCTATTGTGGGTGGTTCCTGATGCCGACTCTCCCGTCAGTAAGAACGATCATCCATAATTTTGCAGAAAACTTGACATTCCTAATGCAGACTAACTTTACAACGAGAAAGGTGACACATCTCCTTGTTATTTAGTGTCATCCTTCTTCTTGCTCAGCTTGAGCATGCTGAGTTTGGGTAACCTTGAGGGACCAATGGCCACACAAGAATCTGAGGCCTCTGTCTCCCGACTGTGGCTCATTTAGGGTCAAGGGCCTGTGACAGGGGCTTTGATTTCACCTACTCAGCTGACAAAAGGTCTAGAAATGAAAATGTCTCTTTTCTTATGCAAAGTCTGAGTGTCTTGTGCCATGATGACCCATGGGAATCCATGTAGGTCAGGGAAGGGAGCGTTGGAGGACCTGCTGGTTATGAATGAAGCAGTTTCCCCATGTCCACACTGGGCCACCTGTGGACCTGGGGGCAGGCAACCCCTACAAGCACTTATTGCCTGAATTAGTTTGCTTGGGTTTTCAGTGGAGGAGAAGAAAGAGGTGTTTTCAGTTTATATTCTATTTATACTTTTAGAATGCAGTGACCCTAAAAGACAAGATGGAGGTGAGAACACATGAGACCCAGTATGGCTCTGCCACTCTGAGGGCTGGCCACTGCTGAGTGTGGGGTGAGGAGAGCCTTGGCACAGACAAGGGATCCAGTACAAGGTAAGGAGGGGCCCCAGGGAGAAGCCAGGCAGTCACCTGTTTCAGAAGACACATGGGACATGCCCTGCAATCTGCAGAAGCACTTGGATGGACGTAGAGGGAGGCCAGGGGACAGAGAGTGATTTGGGTCTTTTCTCTCCCATTATATCCCAGATTGGTCTAACGAGCTTCTTCTGTACCCACAGACTTGGGCCACCTGGGGACATTTTCCCATTTTACTATTCTTCAAGAATTAAATGGCAGAATTTGTTGTTTTAGGGAAAAATTTGTTGTTTTAGGAAAGAAGGAACAATTTTGATGGGCTTGTTTTTGTAATAATTATAAGAATTAGTCACAAATGCCAAGATGGGTGGCATTGCATTGTATCCTTTCAGTTTGACGAAGTAGAAAGCTCAATTGATTACCTATATTACCTGTATCGGTCTGTACTAGTTTCCTAGGGCTGTTGGAGTGAAGTAACACAAACCGGGTGTCTTAAAACACAGACATTTATTCTCTTGCAGTTCTGAAGGCTAGAAGTCCAGAAGCAAGATGGCACTAAGGTTGATTCCTTCTGAAGGCTCGGAGGGAAAATCCTTCCTTGCCTCCCTCCTATCTTCTGGTGGTTGCCTGCCATCTTTGGTGTCCCTTGGCTTGTAGATACGTCACTCCAATCTCTGCTTCTGTCGTCACATGGTGTTCTTATAAAGAACACCACTCACTGGATTTAGAACCACCTAATGCAGGATGATCTCATTTTAACTATTTATATCTACAAAGACCCTGTTTCCAAATAAAGTTGTATTCTGAGGTTTTTATGAGGATGTGAATTTTGGGGTTCTCTTTTCAACCCAGTGCACTGTCCATGTGCGTCACTGCTCAGTAGGGTTCCAATGGCCTGGAATTAGTACCTATGATTGCTCGCAGGTGTGGAGGCTCCGTCGTCACTCAGAAGCAGCATTCTGACTTGAGCTGTGAAAGTGATGCACTCCAGATTTTGGAGTGTGCAGGATTCATGGCGTGATGTAGGGCCTTCAGTTTCTTTGTCTCCATTCTTGCCACACAGAGTTCACAGACTGCCTTCCTCTCACCTCTATGAATCCTGGCACTTCTGGCACCTACTGGTGACATCCTTCAAACCTCTGTGTCCTCTGGCTCCTGACAATGCTGGGCTGAGATCAGAGGAGATTTGGAAGGGTGAGCCCATCCCTTGGAGAATCTTAGTTTTCGTCCTGTGTCAAGGCAGACCCAATATTTGGGCTACTAAGACCTTTTTTTTTTTTTGAGAAGTGACCCTCTCTGGGATCTCTCTGCAGTCGTGTACAATTGAGCAACCACTGTGCAGCCTCACATGGCAACACCCAGAGCACAAATTCCTCTTGGGGGCCAACGCTAAGAAGTTAATGTTTGGTGGGAAGACACATTCCAGGCCATCAAAAGAAAACATGGGAAGGAGCACTCTCAAATCCATCACAGCCCCAGTAAAATGGTTTCACTGTGTCTGTGTCCCTCAAAATCGTTATGGAAATGGGCACTATTTTAAAAAATCCCACTATTCATATATTATTATTTTATGATACACAGTGGTGCACTATTCCTTCTGAAAATTTCAGAAAATAACAAATTTCTGACAAGAAGAGATTTACAGGTTTCTGTCCCAGCTCGAACCTGAGGTTTTCGGAAGGTGCTTGCTGCCTTGTCCTAACTCCTAGACACGTCTTCTGACTCCTTCTGCTTTCTCTCCTTTCCATGGACATGTCCCTGGGGTGGCTGTGGGGACAGCAGCAGCCTCCCTTATGTTAAAACAGGAGTCTGATTCTATGGGGCTACTCTGGAAGGGTCCCACCAAGGTTATCCCAGAATTCTCACACTACTTTTAGGCAGAAACAGGCCACCTGCAGCATGGGGGGAGGGTCTGTCCCCTCTCTCTAGTCTTGGAATACTCTGCAGGGCTGCAGGGAGCAGGTTCCCAGGCAGGCCTGGGAGAGAAGGACAAGGGGACTTCCTCCATGGTGGCCAGAAGTCTTGTAGTTGGCTCTGCCTGGCTAGACAGTGCAGGTGATCCCTTTGGAGAGCAATATGTGGTAGCTCCGGGATCCTGGGCAGGGCTGGAGCTGGCTGGAGCTGCAAGGCACTTGGCCCCCACACACCTGCGCTGTGCCAACATACAGGTCCTGTGGATGTCCATATGCCAATGTGAGCTCTCTGGGTTTCTGTCTCCTTCACTATCCCGAGTCATTGAAAATTGCGATTGCGTCTGCTTCTTCTTCCAGGCCACAGGCAAATGAACTTGATAAACACATCCCAACACTGATCTCAGCAGTGTGCACTGCACAGATATCATAGACAAGGAGTATGAAGCCTTGGCTTTGACTTCAACACCAGCTCTTCACTCCCGCGTGCTCCTGCCCCCAACCTTTCAAGTAGTCATCACCTTGTCCTTGTTAAACAGGTAAAATGTGTGATGCTCTGTGCTCCTCTCTGGTTCACAGGCTGTAAATCCAGCACATATTCTGGCTTTTTTTTTTTTTTTTGGTGGGGAAGCATGGTTCTAAGGAACTATTGTTGTCTAAAGCCCCAAGGCCTGGGCATCAAGAACCCTTGCATGGGGCACCACATTTCAGGCTCTAATCAGCATTTCTGCGGTTAGCAAAGCTTCAGTCCTTGGCAGGCCAATGGGCATCAGGTCACCCTCAGAGAAGGAGACCAATGTCATCCCTGATGATGTGAGGTCCTAGAGAAAATAGTAAGAAATAAAATATTAATAGGTCTAAGAGGGAAGACTCACACTTTTATTTTTTTCACTTACAATGTTTACTTTTTTTTAATCATAAATCCCATACCATAAATTTCTACAATACAACTGGCATCAAATTTAAAGACTGTTACGGAAATCAACTTACAACTCTCCTTTTGGAAGAAACTGGGCAGCGTGGTGTGAAGTAGGTGGAGGCAGTTTCTAAAAATCTTACTGGGAGTCACCAGTTTACAAGGATGGGGACCAATCATATTGGAGGCTGAGGAAAATATGGGAGAATTCTCTGCTTGATTTTGTTGTTGCTCCCTAATAAATGTTCAAAGTTGATTGGGATTAAAGAGCCATTATGCAACACTATTTTTGTCTTCCCTGACCTTGTTAGTTCTATGAGAGGTGAGAAATAATCTAGCAGTGACTTGGTCAGAGATAAGCAGCCCCAAATAAAGATGGTTGAGGAGCAAAGTGAAGTTACAACAGAAACAATAAACAACAGCCAAGAGCCTGGACCAGACACTCTTCTCTAATAGACTGTTCACTCATAAGGCAGAATTATCCCCAAACAGAGGAATAGTCACCAACCAAGGGCACATCCCCTGGTCACGGTAGGATGAGTCCCAACTTGGAGAATCTGGCTCCAGGTGAGGGGCTGTTAATGAATTGCAAGGAGAGCATAACGATCAAAGTCACCCGCTATGATAGCCATGGCCACGGTTCCCTCCCCAGCTCTCTCAAGCTGCAGAGTGGCTACCAGAAATAGGACAAGAGTTGGAGGGCTGCATCTGATGGTTTATAAGGGATGGATTAAAACAATACTTCAGTTCATAGGAAGGGTGCCAAGAATGTCGGCACTTTATGTATGGGTAAACAACCCAGTCACAGAGAATGCTCTTATCCAAAGATAATATACAGCAATAAAATAACCTGAACCCCATGTAAAAATTGTGCAATGAAAA